TGGGCGTAGTACCCAAGTTCACACTGGGAGGTGGCAGAGTCTGGTCCCAGCTCTAGGTGACTGCCTCCAGTGCCCCATGAAGAAATGACATCAGAATGGGCCAAAGACAAGGAGGGCTTACTGAGGGAGGTGGGACTCCAGCTGGCTGTGGGTGGGCTGATTCCAGCAGGCAGAGGGGCAGGGCCTGAGGAGGAGACGCAGGGGTCACTCAGCTCTGCCTCCAAATGTAGCTCTGAGCCCATCGCTCTCCTCTCCACGTACACCAGCTCCCTGCTGCCAGGGACATCAGGCCTATCTTCAGCCTGACACTCAAAGACCTTTGTGGTGTGGTCTGTCACCTTTTCTGTCTCATCTCCCTCCTTCCTCTACCGCATTGGTGGTCACTTTTCCCTGGCTGCTGGGAGGACTTGACATCTCCCCTCAAGCAGAAGTACTGCTCCTATTTTACACCTGCCTTTTCTTTTCATTCCACTACTTTCCTTGGGGGCCAGTTGTTCACTTGTTTCCCAGGCTCACCTGAGCTCTTCAACTGCACCAGTACTGGTGGTGCCCAGCACACAGTAGGGGCATGAGGGTGAGGGCATCTCATGAATATTATGCATCACACTAGGGGACCTTACTGCACAGTCATATGTTGCACAGTTCATGGAACTGGCATTGATCTGGAACGTGATTTAAAAGCTGGGCAGGGGAAGTGCTTATTCAAGAAAGGATAGCATTGCCCTCCTATCAGGGGCACCTGGTAAATAGTGCCTGGTAAGCCTGTGAAACTGAGCACATTAGAGTCTTCTGGAGTTCAATTTGGAATTGGGATGAAGTAGGAAAAATCTATGCTCATTGAATACAAAATGCAATTGTCAGTGCAGGAACTGAAGTATATGCAGAAAATTATATTTAAGACTCTATTGTCATAGGCAGATTAGCTAATGCTTGATTTTAAGTATAGGCCTCTAATGCTATTACTCCTGGTTAGCTCTGCCTGGCAGGTAACCTTGTGGAACAAATGACTGCATTGCTTGAATAACATATTTGATCAAACAGGACAATTCTTTCAAAAATTGAGTTCTCTGTGGCAATTTGAGACCTGTAATCAGCAAATTAGATGATTACAGCAGGGATAAAAATAGTCTTCTAACAATGTCCAAGGTATAAATGTGATTTGAATTTCAAAATGCTGAACATGTGGTAGGAAAATGCTCGGTTGGGTAAATATGACTAGACATTATTAGATTTGATTTCTCTTTCCATCCCTGCTCTGAGCTAGAGCCTGATTTTACCCGAATAAAGTCCAATCTCATTTGTGTCTGAGTTAGAGGGCAGAAGTGCATCTTGCCACTATGCTCCAAATCTTAAAGGGCTCCAGTTTTTCAAGAAGTACATAAGGAACTTGTAAGTCAGTGTGATGATGACAGTAACTCTGGTGAGTGAATTCTGTGAGCTGGGGTGTGACATGAGGATGTGGTTTGCTCTACCACAATCCAGTCAGTCTTCATGGTTGGTTGTTAAGTTACTCCTAGTTTCTCCATCACAAGTTATTTCCACCAACACAAGTTAGACTAAGGGGCCCCATCACCTCCCTCATCCGGGTCCTTCCTACTGACCATGTGTGCCTGAGGGCATTTGTTCATGCAGGATGACCAGACCTGTTTTCACCCAGATATCTATTTGGAATCACCTGGCCTGTTTCTAGTTGAACTGTGGAACAAAAATGACTTGGCAAATGGGTATATAGAGCCAATACAGAGCCAACCAGTGAGGGGCCAAAGTTTGTACTGACTACTTGCAAATGGAAGAAGCACCTTTGAGAGGGGAAACTTGATTTTATTAGGGGCTGTTAGGGTTTCTGGCAGAGCCAAGAAAATATTACTATATACTATAGATTTCACTTACCCTTTATTAGCACAGATGGTTAAGAGCTGCCTGTCAACAGTGCTATTAAATAGAAACCAATTTCCAGAAATGCAGCAATCTAACAATCTATATATAAGGCACTCTCATTTCAGTGAATTCAATCACACCCTGCAATATGAAGGCTTACCCACGATCAATGAATTATTTACCTCAAAGGTGCTTTCAAACCAGTGTTACCTCACATTTGTCAAACCCTCACTTACATAAAACTTTTAAAATGGAAATGTTTTCAATGCCATTTTTTCACATGGAAAATGCCTAATATAAATTAGGATTTTCCCAACAAGTCACTTAGAAATGACCACCATTAAAAATTCAGTGCTTTAAGCATGAGCCTCTCTGAAACGGTGAAATAATTAGCAAGGAGTCCTATTTCACTAAATACCATTACATGTACATCTATAATGCATTAATTAGGAAAGCTATTAAAACGTGCCAGAACTATAGCATCACAATGCAAAAGAGAAGGGTCTCTTTCCAATGTCATATAAATATGGTACAGATCCAAACAGGCTGTTTTCCTTTCTACTACAGACTTCTGCAAAATGAGATAAAATGTCAAGTTGAAAATAAGTGGTATTTGTTCATTCACCTTCCATTTTATGAACCCACACATACATACACCAAAGCAAGAATGAGCCACCAGACTTGACAAGGCCGCCATGTGAAGAACATTCAACAAGATGTAATGTGGGCTGCACACGTTGTCTTAAAGTGGGTTGTGACCCCCTCCATTGGCAAGGCACTTGGTGATTTCAGCACTGGTCAGGAAACAGACCGGACAGGGACAGCATGGTCTTGAGCTACATATGATTTTACTTTGCATTTTTTTCTTCCAAGAATACTTCTAGGCTACTATGTTAGTTTGACAAATTCTCCAAACAAAGATTCTTTAAGATTTGGGTAAGTACCAAAATAATTACAGACTCTTTATGACTTTTGACCCATCCTAGGGAAGAAAAATTACCTAAACATCCTCTTGGATGCAGACATGACTTTGCTACATTGCTACAGCCAGCCTGGAACCCAGCCTGAGCAGCACTGTGCAGGCATGGTGGGAGACATGCCTAGTCAAAGCCTCCTTCCCAGCTCAGGGGGCCCCTGGGGAGACATGCAAAGCTGTACCTTAAGTTCACTTCAAAAGTTTTCTTTTAAATATATCTGCTTCAAAGACTGGAATTCAAAAAGCATGAAGCTAAGAGAACTTGATATAGTCACATTCAAGTTGACTTAAATTACCAGACATAGCTCATAAAACCAGCTGTCTCAAAGACAGTGTTATCTTTATTAAAAAATGGATAGACATAGCAGCACTTACAAAATGATAGTTCATAAAAGGCATTGTACATTGTCAACTGATAGTGTGAAAAGGGCAGGCCCCCGGCACAGCCGGTTGCAGGCTCTACATCACAACGTTCAAAACCACCTTTTCCGCTTAGCATGACACAATCCAGAACGCCCAAGGGGAGACCAACAGCAACATGGCACTCCTCAAATTCAAGCCTTTATTTGTGTGAATGAACAGTCAATTAAGTCAAGTATCACCCTCCTTAGCAGCATCTGGAGCACTCACAGGTGTTCTGGAGGTGGCTGGTGTACTTGACCCACTTATTTAAAAAATCTAAGCATTCAATAAAAAACACTTCTCCCTGTCCAATGCCATCACAGAAACACTTCTGCTGTGGAAGAGACATGCTTTTCCATTTAAATATCTGTAAAAGCTAATGTACACCTCTGCTGCAGGGCACAGAAGACGATGTGGAGCAGGCACTTTGCACAACTGTCTTTGGTGGAGAATGCCAGTGTGGTCACTCTGTGGGGCCCTGCCCACTGCTCTGCTTCTTACTGCTCTGAGGCGGGGTGAGTACACCACTGGGGAGAGGAGAAATCCTATTTTGTTCAGACAATATGGCTTTCTTTGCTTGGGCTTTGTCCTGTTGATAAGAATAAAAGCAAGAAATGTTAAAATGAAAGAACATATCTTTTGGGCTTCACATACTACCTGCTTTTTTATATGGAGATGAATGAGGAAGAAAAATTGCAAAGAACCATCTAAAAGTCTCTGGTCAATATGATACTTAGATACATTATCTATTGACCACAATTTTTATTTTTTTCAGGGAATTAATTAAAAGAATTGGAATCTTTCTAGGATATCCGGAATCTGCCTGAAAGTGAGGAGGCTAAAAAGGTAGTTTTAAGAATTTACCTGGGAAGCAAGGAAGAATACTGACCAGCAAGTCCAAGCTGTTTATGTGGGTCTGGATGTTGTGTGCATCTTCAGAAGGAACTCCCTGGAAGTGCTTCAGTTTGGAACTTCCTGTCTCCCTTATAACCATGGCAAATGGAACCATCCATTTGACACACTTCTCTATATCACACCACTGATACCCTGCAATGAAAATTAATTTCAGGTTCAAGCTGAGGCCAACAGTGTTTTCCAAGTTTAATACACTTTGTGAACAGACTGGAAAGCTAACGTACCTGAAACCTTCTGCATCAATTCAGATGAAGAGAAATGATACAAGGCAGAAGCAGCAAGCACACCATAGGAAAATTCTAAGCAGCCAACATCCAGGACACAGAGATCTAAAAGCTACAAAGAAAAGAACTGAAGTGGATGGTCAACACACATCTTTTCTAGAGCTACTCAATCTAGCGGTGGAGCAAGTAGCCCCACAGATAATGGAGCCACATACCTCTGCAATCTGTATGAAGATTTGCTGGGGATACCGAGGCAGGAGCACTTCATATAAATCATTGAGATATGCAACCTGCATGTACACATTCAGCCAGGACACAGTGGTCAGGGGACTTAAATGCCACTTAAGGGCCTAAAGGAAAACACAGAGAAAAGAGACCCACGGTTGAAAAAAGAAAAGGACATCTCTGCTCCCTTTGACACTCTAAAGGAGTTCAAAAATTAGCCATGTTCCATGCCACAGTGTGTCCAGCTGGAGAATACCAAGTCAGATGCAGTCAACACTGAGTGGAGAAGATATTATGTATACATTTTAACAAGGACAGAAAAATAAAAACCTACTTTCATAATGATTAATTCCATGTTAAGAATTTCATCTACTGAACAAGCCCCATCTGTAACATAAGCAAACTGGTGCAACTTTGGAGGATAGATCTCCTAGGAGGAAATAAAAGGAAGATACCATTAGCAAAAAGCCAATCTCTAATAGTTCTAACTTATAACGTACATCCAAAGTTATTCTATTTAGTATGCTGGCATGGGAAGAGAGGCAGAGGGTACCTTGATGGGATAAATACAGGAGCTATTCCAGTGGTTCAAACATGTTGTGAAAAAATGAAACACCCACCCTCACCAATAAATAAAAAATAAGTAAAACTTTTACTCATTGGCTATTTTTGAAATTTTCACCTTTTCAAAACCTTTATTAGCAGCATGTTTGAAAGCTGGGTTCATCCACCCTTCTAATCACATCAAAATTCTAATCCTATATGTCAAAGTTCAGGTTTTTTCACTTAAAGGAACAACATTAAGCTAAGCATTTTATATACACACTACTTCTCTTTCTTCCTGGTTAATTTCTAGCCTTTTTTTTTCGCATGTGTCATTAACTTAGAAGGCCTCAAATTAGAAAAGTTTAGACAAATAGTTGACCAATTTCCCTCATCTCAGTGGAACTCATGAAACAGTATGTGCTTTATAACAAATATTTGAAAATTATTTACCTCAAGTTTGGCAGCAATAAATAAAGATGAAATCCCAATAAGCTGTAAAAGTGTCTTTACAACATCTTGTTGTGTTGCCATATACCGATCAAAGAAGTCCTGTGCCAAGTAAAATGTCTCTCTGTGAAGTTTATAGACTTCACACACCTGAAAAAAATACTAAGTTTTAGAACAGTTACTTGAGGAGAAAAGAAAAAGAACAAAAACTTGCCATGAGTTTTGGTGATGGACAAGATAACCAAACTGAGAGCGAGAACTTAGCTTTGCTGAAAAGGTGGTTACCTTGCTTGTCCCTAAACACGTGAACAACAGAGAACTGGAACTCAGATATGAAGATTAATTTTTCTGTGATCTATGTAATAGTAAAAGCAGATTTCATAGGCTGGGGAAGGAAGACATGCTCACATGATGGTGAAAGCAGCATTTTCATGGAAAAACTATTAATTTTCTCAAAGAATGGAACCCTTTGTAAGTTTCACTGACTTGCAGAAAGAACTAACATATTTCTTCATAACCAGATAATATCAGTACAAAAGTTTACAAGCTGGAATGTACATTTATTTAAAGACTACAACATTTTAAAACACCGTTCATCTGTTAATCACAAGATGCAAATTTTTTTTTAAAAAAAGCATTAAACAAAAGACTCAGAGACCTTGGTTCTAACGTAGGCTCTCACTTGGACTAACTCATTTATCTCAGGTTATCTCAAACTATAAAACAAGGATAGTATCTACATCTTGCCTACCTCACAGGACTGCTATGAGGTATAGTGAAACAGTACACATGATGAAGTTGAAAAGGACCAGGGAAATACTAGACCTCAGTTCATCACCATCCTCAAATGTCTGATTATATTTGTTCCTGAATAGGACATCCCATATCAGTGCAATTCAAAGGGTTAATAAGACTCAAGTTCACCTCCATTAACCAGTCCAGAAGAATCGCTCGCATTTTAGGCTGCAGAAGGGGGTGCCGCTGCATAAAGTGCTTATCCCGTAAGTATATCTTTTCCTTGTTTAGCATAATTTTCCAAACCTCCTCTCTATTCGCCCAGCTATAAAAAACAAAACCAAGAGAAAAAACAAAAGACAGGTGTCAGTATGTACCAATACTAATGAGGTGAGAGTGAGATCACAGAGCAAGAGATCTGGCACAGCTGGTCAACTTACTTTAGTACAGGCAGCGGGGAGGCTCTGGATGGCATGAAACTCGGAGGCTCATTTGCAGAACTTGGGTACCCCAGCTCATCCTCTTCTTTGTCAGGTGTGGGAATCAAGGAGCAGGGGTTTTCACAGGCTGCATTACTGTCCCAAGGCTGTGAAAAAAAAGTTTTAAATGTTTGATGCACACCAGCTATTTTTATATGCACTGATTTGTAGAATAGCCCATAAAACAGAAAATATCTTCACACTGGAGAGTAAGCTCCAGGCCTACATAAATATTCTGGCCTAAACTGAGATGAAGATGGCATAGATATGTAAAAGCCACAGTAATGACCACCTTACATTTCATTTCTGTCATTAGCTTTAGTCTATGCAGTAAATACCTAGGAAAACTACCAAGTCAGTAGCATTTTATCCTCTCTATCATCACCCTTATTATGAGGTGCTTGAGAAGCAAAATGGACCAGGAGTAAGAAAAAATGCAGTTATTACACTACCAAAAACTAAAAATGAATACAAACCCATTTGCAGCTCAGTAAGATACTGGGCATGACTTCTGAAGTGTGTTGTAGTTATTTAATCACAATTCAAAGGTATGGTTTTTAACAGGGACAACTGAACTACTACCTTTTCTTACAAGTGAAAGAATTTTCAATTCAAGTATTTATGTAAACACTCCACATTCACAAGTATAAAAGATAAAAAATGCAAACTGGTGGCCATCTATATTTAAAGTCTCCCATTTTAAAACAAAGTCTACCAAATGTGACATATTCCTTTAGTTGTCGGGAAGGACTAGTCAAATAAATTACATAATGGGAACCTTCTGTTTTTCTTAAAACAAAACAGAAAGAGTATCTGCCTAGTTAAACCCAAATCAAGCAATGATGACTGAACATACTGGAAGACCTGTGGAGAAAGAGCCTAGATACTCCTGAAGACTTTTTTGAATACCACCCCACAAGCTTTGCACAGGGTAACTCAAATAACTAACACCTGAACAAGCCACCAAAGCAATATGCTTTTCTTTTAAAGATTCCAGATATTCAGTTTTATTCAATTTTCAGTATTTGGAAAAACACTAAAGGTTATCTTGCCCTTTAGAAAATTTTCTTTTTAAAGTTACTGTTTATCATCCTAACTCTAAAAAGAAGTCTATGATTGATTCCAAAAATCACAAAATAGTGATTTGTTGAAGATATGGCAAGTAACAATCCCACCAGCATGGAATCCCTGTGAAAATCTGAGACTCCTGGCATTTTTTTAAAGCAGATCATTAATGCTGACTAAATAAAGAAAAGAGACAACTAAGATGACTGTACCTGAACTGGAAATGCGGGCTCTAAGTGTGAGCCTAGAAGACATAGTACAGAGTGGCTATCACAGCACACCGGCCAGTTTCAGAAGAAGCTAGGGCACTTTCAGTGTACTAAGAAGAGCAAAGCAGGATAAAGCCCTTGTACACACAATGTGCAAGAACTGGGCATGCAAATTAACCACGAGAGCTCTTGACAACAGCTGTTCAAGAAAGGCAACCTTCTCTTCCAGTTCCATTATCATGGGCTGGTAGCATTACCTTAACTCAAAAAGGCTCACATTACAACTGCTTCAAGTTGCTCTTCATTCAAGAATGAACTCTAGTTTTGAAGGCAGAGGCTGGGTGCCACCCTCTACAGCCAGATGGCTGAAATAGTTGAGAGCAGGCCTTTGCAGATAAAGTGATAGCAGTTCCCCACCTGCAGTTCACAGACAGATTGGGTGAACCACAAGCAGACATAAATGATTGATTCTGAGTTGGCCTTTTTAGGAACCAGTATATGAAGCAAAATAATGTCTTTCAACTTGAGTATTAACATGTTTCAAAGGAAGAAATATCAGTCTGACTTTAGGAAGGAATGTGAGAATAGCAAGAGACCAGTTTTGACTATTCCTAACCACCCCCTGACTCTTTATGCCACTTTTAATTGAGAATATAACTATGTTATGCAAAATTACATTCTGAGAACTAATAGAAAAGTCCAGGATTCCCCGTCAATGAAAAAGTAAGGTCTCATGCAAAAAGTAAACAACAAAATGGGTATGTTAAATGGACTTTAGATAAAAGAATATTCTTTTCATTAAGAAAGGCCTAAGGTAAGAATCAAAGGTTCCATGTGGTCTTGATGAAGCAGTTACACAGAGCATAGCATGACAGCTACAGGGAGCTCAAGGCTGTCATACAAAATTATTTGTACTTAATAGGCAAACAGGTTGTGTTACTCCAAAATTTTAACTTCATGAATATACACAGAAAAATAAGGAGAGACATTAATTGCTCCACAAATAGATGGATAGTATTCAAGCTGTCTACTCTACAAAAATGTGCAGAAATATGTTGTCATTAATCTCTAGACAGCCATGAAAATGCCTTCTAGTGGGAAATGACATGCCTATTCATATATCACAGCTACCAATGCTCTGCAGTCTTGGGATAGGGCCATAGCCCCATCTTGGGCACCTGAGGCACTGCTCAGGTTACCTTTGAGGACAGAAACTAATCTAAAACTCAGAGAACTTAGTATGATGGCTTCGCTTCATCCTAGGTAGGAAATTTCAATTCAAAACACAACGGGAAAATAAACAATCTTGAATTTCACAAAACAGAGATCCATTTTCTAATACCCACAAAAGTCACCTTGCTTCTTGTTTGTATGGTTTTTGTTTTCTAAGGGGAGAAAAAAACCCACTTAGGATGTAGTATCTTATTTTCTTTCCTAAACAGAAGTATTTTTTCTTCTAATAGAGAAAGAAATCATCAAACCCTTGTTCAATATTCAGTGGAACTTCCTATGCTAGCTACTAGGGTCTTACATGTGACAACTGCTGTTGCAAACAATGTGGCCCATCCACTACTTTGAAGCCCTTCACTCTTCACCCAGCTGCTACGGTTATTGTTCATGGCTCCTACAAAGTGATATATTGCCCCTTGCTAACCTGTCTGGGACCACTGTCCTTAGCTCAAATACTATTATTACTGCTCAGCTTTTATCTGTGATAGGGTCAGAAGGCCTGACAAGCTAGTCTGAAGATAGGCTGCTTCCCCTACTGGAGCCATAACTACAGTCCCCAGCCATTTCTGGAGGTACAGAGATAATACAAGCCTTTTCTGCTATGAACTTCTGATATTATAATGATATCACGAGCGTGCCGGAAATTAGGCAGGAACGCTATAATGGAGGAGCAAGAGAAATGGACTAGTCAACTTAAAAAATGTATTGAGACACATATCATTACACAGAATTCCACTAATACTCTGGCCAAGGTGAGGTCAAGCCCCAGACAACAGTGATCACTGTACGTAATTGCTGGATGGACTGGAAGAACTTCCAGAAAGCGGAGGAAAGTTTGAAACCTGGGAGAGAGTGGGAGGGGGAAGGGAGGTCCTTAAGCACCATGATGAAAAAACACAAGTATAGATAGGGGGAAATTCTTTGCTTATGAACACACACAAACCCTCATCATCATAGTAACCCAAAGAACTGTGTGTCAGGGGCACTCCGCTCTAGGTCACCAGCCTAGAGAAAAGGCTATAGGACAGACTCTGCCTCTGACCTGTACAGGACTCTGGATACCTTCTTTCTCCGAGTATCAGTTTCTTCAAGGGCAAAAGTAGAGGACTGAGTTATTTGATGTCCATTCTGAATCTTGCAGACATCAGTGCATATTTGTAATCTCAGGGGTGTGGGTCAGGAACACAAGACCCTTCTGGAATCCCAAAGCTGGCAGAGGTCAGTGCCCACAGACAGGCAGAGTGCTCAGCCATATGGACTATGGTCATAGTTAGAGAGAGAAAAAGCCTTCAGCAGGAGGCAAGGGGGTATGAGACTCAATCTGACCCACAAAGAGCAGAAGGCCCTTCCCCTGGGCCCGATCAGCAAGTGTACCTACCTGACTGCCACACTGGCTTCTCACAGTCCTGGCAATTTTGGCAATTTCTTCATCTGGATCCTGCAAAAACTGACATACAACAATCCCCACCCACCAAGGAAACACACCAAATAGCCCACAAACAAAAACAGAGAGAGAGAAGAAAAAGACAGTTGGTTAGATTATGAGCACCATCACTGAAAACGCACCCTCTTAACCCCCTCTCAGTAGTATGTGGGCAGAGCACTGTCTGGTACCCAGGTAATACGGTGTGGGGGGAATCCTTCCCCACCTGTCTCCTTTGTACTCACAACGGCCACATTTGCCTTCCTTTTCCTGGAGCGAACAGAGACATCAGTGCCACATTCCTCTTTCATGGTGCCCTGTTCCTTCGCATCCCTGCACAGCCGAATGGCACAGAGGTGAGGGTGAGTTCTCCCCAAATCTTGGCTCGCCCCTCCCCCACCGCTGCACACCTCTCCTCTGAAGCCGCAGGCCACTCACCTCTCCCTCCTCTCTCTCGGCATGGCGCAGGGCGTGGGGTCAGACCGCAGGCCTGGGGGACGAAGCGGGCAGTGGGGCAAGGAGGGCAGGCGGAGGGGTCCAGGGCCCCCGTCCTGCCCCGGACACCCCTCCCCCCCTCCTGCGCGGGCGGCGGCGGGAGCCTCCCGGGCCGGTCGGGAAAATGGCCGATAGGCCCGGGGTGGCCTGTCACCCGCGGCGCCTCCGACATCCCGCGAGCCGGGTCCGAACCCGGGGTGGGGGGAGGCTCGGACATCCCCGAAACTCCCGCCGGCCCATCGCCTCCCTCCGAGGCCGGGCTGCCTCAGCCTCCCCCTCAACATCTCCCCCTAGATTGTCTCTGAGCCACCCTATCGGGGCACCCCGCGCTGACGACCCTGGAGACCCGGCGACTCGGCTTCGCCCCACCCCCACCCCACCCCGGCCCGGCCGGGTGCCCTAGGAGTCTCGCCGCCCCCCGTCCCGCAGCCCGTGGCGGGGCCCTCACCCGAAGCCGTCTCCGCGGCAGGTAGGCGGCACGAGCCGAGGCCGGAGGCAGCCGGTAGAGCGAGCGGGAGGCCGGGAGGCGGGAGGCGGGAGGCGGCGGCGGGCCGAGCGCGCGGCGGTGGCGGGATCCGCGCCTGCCCCCTACACCGCGCTGGCGGCCGAGCCGGCTGCTCCTGCGCCCGGCTAAGAGCGGGACATTTAAAAATCCCTGCGCGCGGAACCGGCCCCCGGCCCGCCTTCGCGCCCTCCCGCCACCCTCTGCCCCGCCCCGGCCGGCTCCGAGCCCCTCAGCGGCTGCTCCGGGGCCCAGGCCCGCCCAACAGCCGCCCTCGGGACCGCCCCGCCGCGGCGCCGGCCGGCCAGGGAGCTGCGGGCCGCAGGGGCGGGGTTAAGTGACAGGGCCTGCGCGTCGGAGGGGCGGGCCGAGCCGTGGCGGGGCCTGCGCGGCCGGAGCCCGCGCGGGGCGGGACGCGGGAGCCCGGCTGGCGCGCGCGGGGCGGGGTGGGGCCGCGCCGGGCGCCGGGCGTTCTGGCGTGAGCGCGGGGAGGGGCGGGTCGCGGGGCTACAGGGGCGGGGCCGAGCAGCGCCGGAGCGGCAAAAAGCCGCGTGGCCCGTGAGGGTGGAATGTAAACACCGCGGGTGGCGAGGGTCCGGGTCCCCGCAGGGGTGCAGCAGCGGTTTGGACCGGAGGACCCGCTGTCCCTCGGAAGCTACGCGCGCGCACTATCCCACCTTGCACGTCCTCCCGGCCCCTGAGACGCAGGGTTCCGGGCCATGAGTCAGGGCGGGGATGCGCATGTGCCCAAGGTCACAGCGCCTGGTCGCAGGGCCTAGAACCCGGGCCTTTGCCCGAAGGGTCCGAGGCCCCTTAGCTCTCGTGGAGAACAGCTTTTATTCTGCGAAGCACATCCATCCATCCATCCATTCATTCATTCATTCATGTAATAGTTGAGCACCTTGCAGGTGTGCCCCTCTACCACAAGCTCTTCCCTAAGCGTCAGAAAACCTTTCTGACCCTCAGATTCCACGCAGCCCTCTAGCTTAAAGCTTTATGCGTGTCTCCCCTCAGCCTTGGGATCAAAGGCATGCTCCCCGCACTGACTCACCGGGCTCCACATGAACTGTCTCTGGCCGGGTCTCAGACCGTCCCCTTCAACTCCTCCCCTCACAGCACCTCCCTCTACCGGCTGTCCTTGGGGACTCGGAGCTTGTTCCCTGCTCTGGCTCCCTGAGGCAGCTCATCTTTCGGGAGAACTTCAAGGTCTTCAGTAACCCCTTCATCCAGAGCACTCGTCTCCCCAGAGTTCTTCCACCTCATTGTCCTGCTGTGCTTTCTTCACAGTACTTGCCCCTGTAAGTCTCCAGCACCTTTGCTTTCCTCCTTGGTGTTTGTTGTCCCTCTTTCTACCTTGTCTGTCTTACTCACTACTGTGAGCATAGTGCCTGGCGAAAGGGAGACACTTAAATTGTGTTTGTGAATGAATGCTTGAAAACTCTATACTGACCAAGACCTTGTGAAGCTTACAAGCTAGTGAGAGAGACAGTGCCTTCTGTTCTAAACTTCTAGAAGAAGCATGTAACAGGGATTCTAAACACTTCCAAGGGCTTTTCTGATTTATAGTCTCAATCTGGTTTGCTGCTCCAGGGATTATCTGCATGAAGTTAGAACTAGGTCTTACTGAAGAGCATGCCTTTTGTCATCCCCAGAGGTCCATGCTAGGAGATTGTTGACCTCCAGGGACTCTGAGATAGATCATCTGCTGAGATGACTTGCTCAGATTGGTTTAGGTAGTCATGGAACCCTGGCTCCTGAACTCCCAATCCTGTACCAATTAGTAATAACATAAACAGCATTTCCAAAATGGCAGCCTTGGGCTAAATCCTTCAAAGTGTTATCTCAGTTAAACTTTCATGCTAGGAGATTGTTGACCTCCAGGGACTCTGAGATCATCTGCTGAGATGACTTGCTCAGATTGGTTTAGGTAGTCATGGAACCCTGGCTCCTGAACTCCCAATCCTGTACCAATTAGTAATAACATAAACAGCATTTCCAAAATGGCAGCCTTGGGCTAAATCCTTCAAAGTGTTATCTCAGTTAAACTTCACAATAATCCTATGATGTTGCTTGTCCTATTTCATGGATGGCAGCAATCTGATTCTTAGGGTCATTGTGAGGATGAAGTGAGATTTTGCAGATGAATCAGCAGACTGAGTGGCACATAATAAATGCTCAGTAAATGGTAGCTATTATAGCAATAATAGACAAGACAGAGTTTTCCTCAGTAGTTGCAGCAATTTATTCTCCTACCAGAAAAAAATGAAAGTTCCAGATGTACCATCTCCTAACTGACATGTTCATCGTAAAGTGGATAAATTTTGGTATAGTATTTCAATGGAATACTACACAACAATAAAAAGGGTAAACTGCTGAAACATGAGCAACATGAATGAATCTCACAGACATAAAGGTGAGCACAAGAGACCATACATAAAAAAAAAAGTATTACTGTGTGATTCCATTTATTTGAAGTTTGAGAAAAAGCAAAACTATGGTGACAGCAGAACAGTAGTTATCTCTTGGGGATAATGACTGGGTGGGGAATACACATTTTTATATCTTGACTGAGTCTCTGAGTGGTGGTTATATGGCTGCATACATATATAAAAACTCATTGAGCTCTATATGCTTATGATTTGTGCACTTTACTGAATATGTTATGCTTCAATAAACAATAAAATCATTTTAATTTAAAAGCAAGATTTTAATAACCCCTGCCCACTTGGGAGCTTCCAGTTTGGAAGATAGGCATAGAGGAGTCACGTAGATTAGCAATCACAGTACAGCATGATGAAGGGCTGGGTGGGAAAACTCTGGGGGCTATGACTTCACATACAGTGGTGGTAGGGAGGCATCCACACTGCTACTCTTGGATGCCAAGGAGGCAGCATGGAGGAAGCAGCATTTAGGCTGCAGGGATGAATGAGTTTGACAGAGGCAATAGAAAAGATATGTCTGAGGCAGTGGAACAGTCTGCACAATAGCTTGGAGTCTTTAGAAGCTGCTGATGGCCACTCACCTGGGGTAGCTCACCTTTGGCTCTTTGAGTCCATTTTGTTCTGTGTCTGCATCAGGTTCAGAGTGTCCAAGCTTAAGTTCAGCCTTATGTAAGATGGTGGGTTGGACTGGAGGTGACAAGCCAGCTGCTGTGTACTGTGGGCAGCACCTTCCCTCTGCCATGACATTTTGGGAAAGTTCTTTAACCTCTTGGTGCCTCAATTTTGAATCTGTAAAATGGTGATGATTCTAATTATCCCAACCTCCAGGGTTGCTGTAAGGAGTAAATGTGTTAAAAACCATAATGCATTTGCAATAGTATCTAGCACATAGTAAGTGTCCAATACGTATTAACAACTAGTACTATTCATAAAGAAATTTGGGGCTATTTGCCTAGCTTCATACATGGTTCAGGCCCTGATGATGGTGGACGGGTAAGGACAGGAACCAAGAAACAAGGATTAAGGAGAAGTAAGGCCATGGGGACTGCAAGGGGGAAGTCCTGCCCAGATAGGATTCCTTAACCTGGGACCCCCCAGACAGCCTTCAGGGATCCAGAAACTGCCTGCTGACAGTGTTGGCCTAACATGTGCACTTTCCTGAGCAGCTGATGCAGTAACTTTTACCAGCTCCTTAAAGGCACCTAACAAAGATATGGAGCATTGGCAAAGGTTGATGAGGAATTACATGGGCTCTGTGGCTGCCTGGCTAAACCAAAGTTTGTGTGTGTTGGGGTGGGGGGAGTCTTGTGAGGTGACATGCAGGAATACCAAAAGAAGAGGGGTTAAATTGGCTATACCAGTGTTGGTGGTGGGAAGCCAGGTAGGATGAACAGGACCCAGCACCAGAGAATCTGAGTGTGCGAAGGCCCTGGAGCCTTGGCTCCTATCCTCTCCAGGCCAGCCAGATCAGCCAGAGTCAAGGGCCTTAGTCCATGCTCACAGTCTTAGTTATTGGTCAGATCAAGTTCACATTGCTTTGCCTCCAAATGGGGAAGACTGGCAAACCAGTGGGTGGTCCCAGCCCTGGCCTAAGCTTCTGACACTGGGGAACAAGTCCAGTCAACACTTCTTTAGACAGAAGGCTGTGATCAGTTAAAAAACTCCAGTGAAAATTAAAAATGACCTTTAAACTTTGTATGTGATGGAGCAACTACAGCAGCTGACATTTATGGATTCTGTGCTAAGCTCAGGGTTGCTAGAAACAGACTAATTTGAAAACACTTCAAGGAGTGGGAATGTGTGACCAGGTTGGAGGAGGGGAAGTCAATTATGCATCAGCAAGCCGCCCCAGACATGGCTAAGACACAAGAGTGCTTTGTTCTGTATCTGACATTTGTATCCCCAGTTTTCACTGAAATCTCATTTTGGGTTTCTGAAGAGAGGCAAAGCTGCAAGACATAGGCAGGGGCTTGGAGAGAGAAGGTTTTTGCAGCACCCTTCTGTCCCTTCTGGTCAGGGACTCTTTCCTTGAACCATCAACCTCTGTACTTTAATGGGGGCAGTGTTAGCCGATCAGAGCACCACATTCCTGACCATATGATTGGTTCAGGGTAGGCGCATGACCCAAGCTGGGCCAATGAAAAGCCTGTGAAATTCCCAAGCTGACAGGAAGTATTCCTGGAACTAGGACACCACCTTGTCACTCAGCATGATCCTCCTTAAAGGGAAGTCTTGCTGGGTGGAGCAGGGCCATAGGTGAGACCAAGAGGTTGGGCTCCTAAATCCAATCAAACCAAAGACCAGATTACTGGGAACTTTCAGAGGCTGTAGCCAATTAATTTTCATGTATTTTAGTCAGTTGGGGTTGGATTTCTCATAACTTGCAACCGAAAGAGGCATGGATGAGTGAAAGAGTGGTCTAAGGGACTCCTACCGGTAGTCCCTTAGATCCGTGTGCGTTGTTCTCCATGAGGTCTGTAAGGCCACGCTGGCTTGCTAGTCCGTATGCAGTTCTGGGAGTGCCAGGCCAGGTCACTGTCTCAGTTCCCCAGGAATCCTGACTTCCTGGCAGCATCCTTCAGTCACTCATGTCAGTCAAATAGGAGTCCACTTAGTAATCAGCCTGGCAGCCCCTGTGTACTTGCCCCCAGTCAAGTACTAAAGGGCCTGGGGTGGGGACTGGCTTGACCCTGCCCACTAGGAGCTCCCAAGAATGCCTCACACCTTCTGGTGGCAAGTGGACACCAGCCTAGCAGATCTCACTCCAAACATGACTGGACAGAGGTCACAAACTAATGCTGGTGGCCCACAGAATATTAGCAAAAAGTGGAATTCCA